TGTCTCGTTTTGCTTGATTTTGCCATTGCTTTTTTATTTGGTTTTGCCAAAGTAGAGTCATTACCATATTTATTAGGGGGAGGAGGAGGCAGGGAGGGGTTTTGCACTTGTGCATGTTGCGCTCAGTTTCACGTTAATTCAGGTGTACAAAGAGAATGTGCGTGGGATTCCGCGTACGCAGTGTTTCATACATCTGAATTTTTAACTGCGTACGCACATTAACAGCTTTGTCTGTACGGATTGATTTAGTATGAATTCAACGCAAGTCTTCGTACATGAGGCCCCAGGTGTACACAGCCCTATTGGGACACTGGTGAACTGGGAATGTGCTTTTTGTGTAGAATCACTATTGGCATCAACAGCAAGCCGATCTTTTTCTGCACTTATTATTCTGTCACACAACCAGCGATCGCTTTCCAGAGATCGCTGGTTCTCACACGAACTTCAAGACTACACTTCCGCATTTCCCAGGACTACATTTTCATACATGCACTGCTCCCAGACACCCATGCTCATTCATCTAGCTTGATTGCACACACCAGCTGAACCTTGTCATAGTCTGATAGCATACCATACATAAGCTACTCATGAACCCATCCAGTTTGCGGAGTCTTGTTTACCCAATGTGACATTACAACGCGTTTCCCTGTCTTGTTACTCCGTGTTTGAACCTAGCCTTGTATCCTTGTCATCCTGTATAGCTGCCTGCCTTTCGACCTTTTGCCTGTTTACCGTTTATGATTCTGGACTGTCTATATATACCCGTTTGCACCTGTATGACCACTGCTTGCCTGAAGCTGAATAAACCTGCATATTGGATCTTACCTTCAGTTGTCTTTGTCACTCCCCCCGGTCGTTACATATTCTTTAGTTAGTGCTATTTATAGAGAATAATGGTGAACACTTTTACATAGATCTGCAACTTTTTCACCATGAATTAAATACAGATGAGAGCTAGATTGCTCAGCACAGTCTACTGATGAATGTTTATGCATGAAGACAAATAAATACCCTTTTCTTCTCCAAGCATCCATCTCGTGATTATGTGTGGCAAGAACTTATGTTTCTTGCTCTTAAAGGAATGTAGTGGTGCTCGCCGTGCATTATGGGACTTTTAAGGAGTGAATGCCTCTGTGTTGAGATTGTAAATGACCAGAACTCTGATCAGTGCCATCACCACTGAACTAGCGAGTTGATTAAGATGGATCTGTTATGACAGTGTAAAAGCCTGCAGTAAGATCCTAAAAGATAGCTGCAACATCTAGAAACACGCAACAATGAAGCGTTCAGAACTTCAAAGTGAGGTAAAAATAAAAGATGTTGTGTTATTTTGAGCCGAGAATACTTCTGAATGTCCTTTTATCTTGAGTCAGGTTTATTTTTAACAAGACCTTGATCATTTCAATGTCATCTTTACAGCATTTTTGAAAGATGCGAGTGTAATTCAGGCTTTTCAAGCATACGTCAGGACATTGCCGTTCAAAGCAGAACTTCTAAGAAGCAAATAATTGACTGGTTTTATTGTAGAACCCACAAAAAGAGTGAAAAATACAAACTTCAATCTATAAATAGAGAAAATATGGATATGCTTAGTCTAATGCATAATTGTGAAAGTTGCTGCAGTTGATAGATTGGTTCAAGGCACTTGAGTCAGAATGGCTTAAAGGTCCCCTGAAGTGCCTTGCAACGAACTGCTTTGTTCAACGTTTCAGCTTTGTGATGTAATTTCAGCATAAACTTAAAGGGGTAGTTCTGTTAATTATTCTCTTCATGTCATTCCAATCCCCTCATTCATCCTTCATTGAGACCTTCATTCATCTTCTGAACGCAAATAAAGTTGTTTTAGATGCAATCCGAGAGCTCCCTCATCCTCCGTAGACCGCAATGATCCAGAGACTTTAAAATTCCAGAAAAGGAACCGAAAACATTGTCAAAATATTGAATGTGAGTTCAATGGATCAACTGCAGTGATCGGCGTGACCCACGGTGCATGTGACCCTTGCGCATTGCTGTGGATTTATACTTCTGCATGCTGTTTGTGTTGCTCTGCAATAACACTTCTGAAACACTAGCCGGAAATTGGTTTTTATGTTCCTCTTTGTCGAGTTTCTTCACTGGTGTTTTGTTTTTTCTGAACACTACCTTAATGCACAAGTAGATAAAATTCGCTCATTCAGAGGTGGGAATCAGCAGACGTGCAACAACTGTGATCATAAGGTAAACACAAAACAGAAGTTTCCATCTGGAGCTCCTTTACGGGACTCGACACTTGTAAACACTCGCTCCATTAAGCTTGTGGCTCTCAGCACCGCTCACAATCGTCATCGTTATCAAGCAGACCAATCGCAGAGCTTGCGCTACGCATCATTGCAACGCGTAGTTACATTGTTAGTGAGCGTCAGCATCGGCGTCAGCCACAGCGAGGGCTAGGTGCCCCTGTGAAGGCTGCGCTGATGCATACGTGTGCGCTTGACGCAGAATTATAAATCAGCCCTTAGTTCTAGATACACCTATTGACTAACAAACTGAAAGTAACTTATTAAAAATAAATGATTATATATAGGTTTCAGTTGAATAATATTAAACTTTTTGCAAATTTTGTATGACATTTCTAGAAAGTGTATGTAGATCAACAATTTTAGGGGAGAGTCAGTATTGTATTAAATGGATGAAAATAAATATTGGCTCGAATTGGGGTGGTTTGTTATTGAAAATGTTTTATTTACAATTTAAATATATTTTATTTATCAAATTTAAGAGTGTCTTTAACATTTGTGTTTATTTTATTATAACAAAGATCAGATATTTTGTTTAAATATTTTGGTTTTTGACTATTAAAACTATTTGTCTTAGTAATGTTGGTAATTTAAAATAAAGTGGTGACAAAGTATCATAATATTCTAAATATATTGCTAAAAATATTCAATAATTATCAATATCGAATCATATGAAACATGATATCGGGATCTTTTTTTTTTTTTTTTTTTTGCAATATCACCCAGACGTAGTAGTAGACACATTCATGATCAGCAGTAAAAATTTGTAAATTTACCTCTTCCCAACAGGGTAAACCAGCAACAAACAAGAATGCATGATTATATGATGTCTAAATCTAAAAATGTCATTACAATGGAAGTCAATGAGGCAAAAACAGCCACCAATATAATGGAAACTAGTATGCTTGCCCTGAATGTATTGTCAGTATTTTTCCAAAATATGTGTCAAAATCATAGACTGTAAAAAATTATAAATGATAAGTGAAGTTTCACAAACTAATTTCGAGAGGAGCACGTGATATGATTGACTGCAGCTGGCCACTCATCTACACGCATTAGCTAGCCAATCAGATTGATCCAAACTCCCTATAAGTAGCCTAGTTAGAACTACTCCCTTATCTTCGTTTTTCCGAAGAAATCCCCCATCCCCACCCCTTCTCCTTCTTTCCTCTTTTACCAGAGGGATCTCTCGAGAACCACCTGATCTCGTACTCCCCTCACATGCTCTATGGACCAGGCAGGAGCCCTGGGCTCAACTATCTTCGAGCTTAGGGTTCACTCCCGGGACAGCATGCCAAACCTGCTAACTTGGTAACAGTTGTCAAACAATATCTAAGTGTGAACTCTTGAAACGATCTTAAATAAAACAAATACATTTATAGTGGTGGTATATAAGTATATAATTTCACTCACTTGAATGGTTTGTGAGCACAATAAAGTGCACACAGCATGCCCAATCATCTGATAACTGTAAGAAATAATTCCAAAAAGCAACTGACTGTGTAAAGCCAAAAAAAAAACAACAACACAAAAATACGATGAATATGCCGAGTTCAGCGGCTAATCAGCCGGAATCAGCTGAGGTGACGAGACAGTGAGCAGCGAGATCTAGCAGTCACTCAAGTGGCCACGCCCTTATTTATGCAGACTTAATAAAACTTAATAAAAATGAAACAGATAAGTTAAAAAAAAAAAAAAAAAAATATATATATATATATATATATATATATATATATATATATATATATATATATATATATATTATATAGCTATACAATATTAGCTATATGAACCAAAGCCATCTTTTGTACCAGGCTGTAAACATGGTACATAAAAATGGGCAATTTACCATTGCAGTCAGAATTCACCTGGATTTCCTGGAGCCAGCCTCCCAAGGTGAGTCGATGAATTGCAGCTTTAGTTAATTCCTTATTGGCTTCCCGAGAGAGAGCGGTAGGTTGCCGCTTGGTTAAAATAAGATTTGTCACCAAAAGTCATTCCATTTGCTGAAACACAGGGAACGTTGTGGCCAAATTACAACTCAAAATCACCTCAGAGTAGATGAAAACATCCGCAACAGCACACATAAAGGCTGATTTATACTTCTGTGTCAAACGCCGGCGTATGCTATGGCTGACGCATAGCCCTTCGCCGTGGCCGTCGCAGTCACTGACGTGCAACTCTCAAAAAATGTAACTACACGTCACAACGACGCGTAGCGCAAGCTCTGTGATTGGTCGGCTTGGTAGCGTTGACGAGTCTGGGTGGGACCGAGAGCCGCTTGAATGGTGCGAGCCTGATGGAGCGATTGTTTACAAGTGTGGAGTCCCGTGAAGAAGCTCCGGATGAAAAGTTTTGTTTTGTGTTTACCTCATAGTTAAAGTTGTTGCACGTCCGCCGGTTCCTGCCTCAAAATGAGCGAGTTTGAACCACTTGTACATTCCGAAAGTGTTCAGGAAAAGCAAAACAACAGCTAAGAAACTCGACACAGAGGAACATTTACACCTCACTGCCAACTAGCGTTTCGGAAGTGTTAATGCAGACCAACAGAGACAGCGCGCAGAAGTATAAATGCACAGCTACGCGCGTTGCATGCGCCGTGGGTTACGCCGGTCACTTGACGCAGAATTATAAACCAGGCTTAAGGGTTGAGACTACTTCAATGTAATCAAAATATATAAAAATAATTCAATGATGATCTTTGTCCCCTCTTTAATATTCCAGAGGTTAACTGCGAGCACAGGAAGCCGCCAACGCAGCCGTCTCTCAGTCATGGCTCAATATCTCACCACTGTCAAAAGCTGTTTCACAATCCCAGGACAAGCCTTTGTTCCAAAACCAAACGTAAGTCTCTTTTTTCTTCCGTTAACATTTCTGCACCTCTCTGTGTTTGAGTGCTCATGTGAAAGGATGTGGGTGTTAGCTCATTAGAAGGGCCCGTGTTGTCTTAGATGTGAAATCAGAGATTGCAACACATCGCGTGTAATGATGTCCGCAGGGCATTTGGTATGCCACGCTTTCGTACATCACGAAATTAAGAGCCACATTTGAGATTTTAGCCTGGCTTCTTTACTCCGCTGGGTTGTGTGGGACTCTAGAGTGCCAGGGGGTTGTAGATAAGAAGAGACCCCGACAGAAAATACCCGACACACTAAGTTCACTTGCCTGTAAATATTTTATCCAGCCAGAAAGCTTTGAAATGCAGAAGAGAAGAACGAAAAGTGGCACGAATCGAGCGTTCCCTTGAATTAAGTGGCATGGATGATTGCTTCATTGCACACCAATTCTTTTACACCACTGATGAAAGAAATATGCTGCTTCATGAGGTTTCACACAATAAGATACTGACACATCTCCTCAAGATAATAAAAAAGAGTGACGATTCACAATAGTCAAAAAAAAAAAGTAGTTTTAGGAAAATGTATACTGTATTGTACAACTTGTAAGATGTCTGAGGAATGGATATGTACAGTGGAGATCAAGTTTAGAAAACCATTTAGGCTGTGGGGTTGACACGATGCTCAATTGGTACTAATGGATCCAAAGTGTGACAAAAAAATCTCCCCCACACCATTACACCACCACCACCCCCAGCCTGAACTGCTGATACAAGGCAGGATGGATCCTTGATTTCATGTCGTTGACACCAAATTCTGTCTGTACCGTCCGAATGTGGCAGCAGAAATGGAGACTCATCAGACCAGGCAATCCTTTTCCAATCTTCTGTTGTTTATCTGCTCATCCGCCTCAAGGTTGGACGTGTTGTGTGTTCAGTGATGCTCCTCTGCAGATCTCGGTTGTAACAAGTGGTTATTTGAGTTAATGTTGCCTTTCGATCAGCTGGAACCGGTCTGGCCATTCTCCTCTGACCTCTGGCATCAACAAGGCATTTGCGCCCACAGAACTGCACTGGATATTTTCTAATTTTCGGACCATTCTCTGTAAACCCTAGAGATGGTTGTGCGTGAAAATCCCAGTAGATCAGCAATTTCTGAAATACTCAGACCAGCCCGTCTGGCACCAACAATCATGCCACTTTCAAAGTCACTTAAATCCCCTTTCTACCCCATTCTGGTGCTCGGTTTGAACTGCAGCAGATCGTTTTGGCCATGTCTACATTCCTAAATGCATTGAGTTGCTGCCATGTGATTGGCTGATTAGAAATTTGCACAAACAAGCAATTGGACGGGTGTACCTAATAAAGTGGCCAGTGAATATATTTCCAATGAGCCTGCATTGAGATTATCCTACACATTTGAATGTGTATTCATATGATCCAGTATACAACTGTCTACCAATGCCTTCGAAATTCCCTAGATCCCCCTAGCAAGTTGTGCACCTCGCAACACCGTGCATATTTACTTCAGGAAATGTCAAATCTATCATTTAGAGATCTTGGAGACCGTCAGATTGTGTTCTTCTTAGAACTCTCATTGATTTTAGCTGAAGAATTTAATACTGCAAATGTGCCTTTGCCAGTTATTTGCTGAACAGAACAGCATGAGATAAATGCCATCTGTGTTCAAGAGACTCTAGAGGACTGTTCGCAGCTTTAAAATCAGCATTAGTTGTGTGTGTGTGTGTGTGTGTGCACGCCCTCTTTGATTTGGCAGTGGTGTTTGCATACTGCTTTAAAAGTCAACATGAGATCAAAATGATTTAGTTTCTCAGGGACGCTGTGCTTGATGTTCAAAACCTTATATTTGTTGATCATATTGGGTCATTTTTGTGAGTTTTTTTTAGAAACGCCATCTTTTGACGCTCCTGGGCTCATCAGAAAAAAGTATGTTGGAATTTGTAGAGTTACTTTATAGATCTTTAATTTCTTTTTTAAGTAGCGGGTTTCTTTTTATAACTGGGAAAATGTGAAAAAATATATAATTTATTGAAAACATCAACAAATATGAAAGTATATCCCCCATATCCCATGTTTCTTTTGCAGAGCAGGAATTGTGATTAAATATTTATATTAACGTCATCGCTTCAGTACTTTTGTCATTACTTTCATTTGGTTAAATGTGATCATGAGCACAGAGTTCAGGTGTTACGCCTGTTTCACACTGCAAGCGAAAGCAGTGCGTGAGCAGCGCGTATAGAGAGCAGAAGCATTTGCCTTTCACACCAGCTGCGTCTGCAGTGCGCAGCTCTTCGGCAGCTGATCTATCTCCATCTATTCTATTTAGTTACATCTCTCTCTCTCTCTCTCTCTCTCTCTCTCTCTCTCTATATATATATATATATATATATATACAAATACACTAGAACAGTCATCTGAAGCTTTGTCATAAAGTGTTATGCCAAGATTTCATAAATAGTCTTGCATTTACTAACACAGAATACATCTGAAGTGTTTGGAAGTCATTCGCGTTTCCTCCTGTAGAAAAACACCATAAGAACAATGTTTAGTGGCTCATTGTATTACAACAGTGTTTTTAAAAGTCTAAACACCTTATTGATGTAGTGTACAACCAAGTACTTAAAAGTATTAAGGGTTTCTCCCATAGGAAAGCCCATCTAAGCAAAATGCTAGCATGTGTCTGTAGCTCCGCTCACGCTCCGCCTCTTTGCCCTTGTTTGGTTCCCCCGGTTGGTGCGATTATGCTTCTTTTGGGCTCTTCAGAAACCTATGGATGACGTCACAAATACTACATCCATATCTTTTACAGTCTATGGTTTTAACTCTAAAAGTGCATTTAGAGTACATATTTTGCAGTATAAAGCTTTATTTCAGTCATTTTGAAGCTAATGCGTTGTATCTGTAAATGTTAATAGGAAGGGAAGATGCGTCTGGGAGTTAGTTGCCACACATGGCGTATAATACGCAGCCTCCTGTTATGCTCTTGTCAAATTAACTGGATTAGAGAACTGAATATTGTGCAGCTGGTAATTAGCATTAGCTCATTCTCTCTACAGTATTTAGAGAGCCGTTTTGATCTGCTCAGCACTACACTCTGAGGAAAAAAAATGGTTCTGGAGCTTTTTCATACACTGTAAAACATGTTCAGGAATTTTAAAACTCTAAAAATGCTACAGTAAAAAGCCATTACCTGGTTAACTCTAAGTTTCCTTAGTATATACAACCGTAAATAGTCTTTCAATACCCTCACTTTAGATTTTATGTTTTTATCTATCAGTTATTACATTAGACTTTTACGTTACATGTACATCTTTTACGTTATACTGAACACCTTCTGTATGTTAATCCAAAAACCAACAAAAAGAGATCAGGGGAAGCTCAAATATTTGATCGGTGCTCTTTGGATAAGGGATTTATCAAAACAACCACAAAAATCAGTCCAAGGCACTTCGAAAAATGTGGAAAATTTAAAAAGGCTTTATTCACATACCGAAACCTTAAAAAAAAATTAAAATACGTGTTTCGGGGAGTAACTGCCTTCATCAGGGTAACAGTGATCAGGTGCGTCTAGACCAGGGGTCACCAACCCTGTTCCTGGAGAGCTACCTTCCTGCAGAATTCAGTCCCAACCCTGATCAAACACACCTGAACCAATTAATAGTACCTAAATCAGCACTTGATAATTACAAACAGGTGTGTTTGGTCATGGTTGCAACTGAAATGTGCAGGAAGGTAGCTCTCCAGGAACAGGGTTGGTGACCCCTGGTCTAAAGTCTCTTTTGAGTACTCCGGTCACATGATTCATTTAAATATCTAAACAACACTCAAATAATATAACAAACGAGGTCAATTATCATCATGAATTCAGCATAGGTAGAGGGGGACGTATATAAATACACAGACATACACAAGTATGACAACTGCATGGTTTGGAAACCATATAAACCTGCTAGACATGCGGATGATCCCGTCCCGCACAGCTGCCGTTTTACGGCTCAAAGATACTTTGTAGTGTGCAATTTGACACAACTGCCTCTAGGAGTCGCCAATGGTAATAAAGCAAACACACACAATAAATACACGTACGCCAGACATGAAGATGGCGTGGACCATTACACATTCATTTCATCATTAGTAAATCTAAACGTGTGTGTAAAATCTGGTGTACGAAATGTTTTTGTGCATTCGCAGCGTTGATACATGAGGCCCCTGGTCCTCCAGGTTGGGGGTGGAGCGTTGGGCTAATGACCCACCTCGTAAAATTTAGATGTTACGAAACACCAACATGGTGTGGCTAAATATCAACTTCTATATAAATGGCCCTGGGAGTAAGTAGACTTATTATTAAACTTATTATTTCTGAAATCAAGAAAATATGTGAACAGTATTATTTGCTTGTCTTGGACATGCTTCTTGATTTAAGGCTATTCCAGCCTGATCTCACGAAGAAACGTAAGTATTTTACGTTTTGTCAGTTTAGTGGCTAATTCGTACGAATTTGTACGAGTTGAGCCGTACGAAAATGTACGATTTTTAAAGGCGTGGCACCTGACCCCACCCCTAACCCCAACCCTCATTGGGTGATGAGCAAATCGAACTAAACAATATGAATTAGATTATACGAATTCATACAAATTAGCCACTAAATCAAAAAGTTATGAATTGCCGTGAGATTGCCTTGGCTATTCATATATTTTGACTAGAAACAAGACGAAGCTCTTTCTGTCGAATGTGCATTCACACTATGGATTGATTCATCCGTTTTATTCCCCTTTTGTAAGGTTGGAATGAATTGGCTGCAGGATTTGAGAACAGGACAGTTCTATTTATAAGCAGGAGCATTTATAAACATGAGCATATCGGCATGCCACAATTCATCGAAATCCTGCTAGTCCTGGCTCCATATGGTGCAAATTTCTATTGACCCCACTGTTAACATGGCTAACTTCGCAGCAGAAAAAAAAGGTGTTTACAGCCTGGTACAAAG